CCGTCCGTCCATCTTTGTCTTAATTCTGCCAACTACCCGTTCACCTGTGATCGCCGTTTGCACGCAGGTGCTAGCGTTCCTCGCCGTGCCGCGCGTGAAGCGATTAAACTGGAAATTACCAGTTTACTACAGAGACCGGGCCGCCGCCTGGACAAGACGTGGTTCGATCTGAACCGTGAACCGCTGCATGTTCGTCATGAAACTTAGCCACCAGTCATACAGTCAGTCCAGTCTGTAGCTCTCGTGTGTTACTGTTACTATTATTTTTCTCTGAGCTTCGATCTGGCCTCTGTTCATAGTAGTGTCAGCGTCATTACCCATTCTGTCGCGCGCCAGTTGGTCGGTGGCCAACGTTACTGATCTGCAGGTTGACAGTTGGCGAGGCATGTGCTTATGTTATTTTTTTGTCATTTCAGAGCACATCGAGCAAAGCGTCCTGCCGGTGCTGTTAAAGCTGTCGGACAAGTTCGCGTTTCCGGACGACATCCGCATCGAAGCCGTCGGGGTGAGTGTCACGCGCGTGCGCGTCGGTGCGCGAGAGGCAGAGGGAGACGGAGAAACGCAGTCGGCGACTCTAGCGAATAATTTTGCACGATGACGAGTTCGAGACCGGCTCTCCCTCGCGCATACGCTTATACATTCACTTCCGGTCCTGTGTGGAACTCGGCAGCCGGCCGGTCGGTCGTCGTTGTCAGTGGCCGTCGCGGTTCAGTCGTTCTCGTCGTCGTTGCTTATGTTACTCTTGCTTTCGCGCGCTGCGTTGGTCGGTTTCTTGTTCCCTCTGCGCCGCGCTTTTTCTCCCTCGCTCACTCGTCGTCGAAATGTGTCCGCTTCATCACTCGCGTTCCACGTGGTATTCGCACCGCCATTGTTGCTGCGAAGCGTTTTTCTTCGCGAGCCCGGTCCAGCGATTTTAAGGCCACGTTTACTCGACCGACAGTCGAAAAAGACGTACAGCTCCGCTCGCATCTTTCTTCTTCAGCTTACATTGTGTTACTGTGTCGTACTGTGTTCGTACCGGACGATTCGATCCTTCACTCGGTCCGGTTTCTCCCGCGGGTTGTCTCCCTCCCCCCCGGCTCGATTCACCTGCGCGTGTTCAGTTCTGACACAACTTCACAAGAGCATGCACTGGATAGCGATACAGCAACAAAACTGCGTTCGAGAGGTAGATCTGTCATTCGGCGGCGCGACTTACCCTTGCCACCGTTGCTTGTTCCTCATGTCGTGGTTGTGGTCTCCTGTTTGTCGTGGCGCGAGTCTTGTCACCGGCGTTCACCGATAACCGCTTTACTGACGCAGTTGTATGGGTTTTCAGAAGTTGCGTGCAAAAAGTTCCGGTTTTAAATTAAGTGCGAGTTTGGCATGAATTTTCAGCGTTTCAGTGCTTAGCAATTTTCCCATGCTTTCGGGCGATCACCCACCGGTCGACCAACCGAACCGAACTCCGTCGGTTATCTTCGAGTCGTTCGACAAGCGGAGGCGTAGCGGTCGCTTTCCCACCGTTTTGTTCTTGACGTCGACCGATTCTACGCATAAGCCATTCCTTAACGATCTATACATTTTATGGTAGGTCTGGTTGTGGGCCTGAAACAGTGTTTAGGAACCTGCTAATCCGACCGTGGTGAAACACGGACGCGGTTCGACACCGCTTTCGCTTCAAGCTTAGGCAAGCAGGCAGGCTGAGTGTAGAGCTGTAGAGCAGTTCCAGTCGTTATGCGTTCTCCAGGCTGTGTGCTGTAGTAGGTGAGGTGCTCAGTGGTCGTGGCGTCGTGGCAACAGGGTGTCGTGTGAAGCTATGCTCTTTCGATCGCTCGGGCCCACCGATTGCGCACAGCCACCGTCACTCATGGAAAAGGCATTCGTTGCTGTGAAAGACATGTGTAGTGTGACGCTACTCTAAGGCTGCCTCACTACTCTGTTTTTCGACGCAACGATGACCCCGTGCAGCTACAGTGGTGGTGTTGTGGTGGCTGGCGCGTGCTTTTGTCCTCACCTCCGCGTCGATGCCTGTTTGCCGCCGTCCTTCGACCTACCCTGCCCGGACGAGTCTAAGCTTTTCTTTCCAGTCAGACGGTGTTGCGCACTGACAAGCGTGCCATTCTTGATGTAGTCTCCCTGTTTTTCGGACAATTTTTGTCATTTTGGTAAGTCAGTTGTACATGACGCTGCGAATGCCATGGTTTTCGCCCAGTTGTGTGTGCAGTGAGAAACAAGCGAGAGCGGCGAAAAGCCGGTGGGTAGAGTTGTGTTTTGCCGTGTTCCATCGCGCCACTCGCTTTTCCTTGCCATACAACGCGCAGTGTGAGCGAGCGAACGAGGCGTATGTGAGGTGGCGAGGCAAACGTTGCTGACTGCGGTGGTGATCTTCCTTCGGCAGCGACCATCGCTCGACCTTGTGTTCTTCTCGTCATCAACGCTGCCTGTAATAAGTCTGTTACGTTTATCACAGCCAGCTTTGATGAACGAGGCGTCCACCGTGCTGCTGCTGCACTCATGTCGTTTTCCTCATCATCATCGTCATCGTTTACGTATGTTGCTTCTGTTGACGCGTATTGGTGTGGTGGCGGTGGTGGTTTCGTTTGGTCGTCCGGTCGATTGCAGCTCGGCGTGACCAACTGTGGAGCAAAACCCATCGTGTTGTTGCTTCGTTCGGCAATCACACTTCGATGCTACCAGCGCCAATGAATACGTGCGTTGAGTGACCGACGACCGAGCCATCAAAGTGGAGGTGATCTGTTGCTATCGTCATATCACAGCCAGCTTTGATGAGCTTGGTTGATGTCCTAACAGTATACTCATCCCCTGCGGCTGTTTGATTGACCGACCGTCAACCATCAGTGATTTTTGCTAGCGCCTGTATTCTTATACAAATTCCTTGTTCAGACGATTTCTGTCAACTCCCTTGACGAAAGCAACATCTCGTTCGTGCCGCTGTTTTCGTATGGCATGATATTTCAGGAGCGAGGCGTGTGTGATGGCGATGCCATTGGACTGGCAGGCCAGGCGATTCACTCGTGTAGTAGGCCTTGTCGTTCGACACATACAGACAGGCCAGTACATTAGCATTACCCGCTTGGTGAATGACCGCGACCGTAGCGAAGGTAGTAGGCTAAAGTTGAAATAGGTGCTCGAGAAAGGGGTGTTCGCCTGTAAGCTTGAATATTCGGATTGTTCGTTTTTAAACATGAGGCGCACATTTTTCGTTCTTCGGCTTAAACTAAGTTTCATTACCGTTTTTCGCAAGTTCACAGTCATGCATTGCAATAGTCGTATTATCAGGCTAGCTGAATGACCAGGTGCGCCATCGTTCTCGAATTTTGTTCATGAATTCGGAATGCCGTCTTTCAGTTCGGCTTTGCGGTACCTGGTCGGTCGGTCGGTCGGTTGGAATCCTGTTTTTCGTAATGAGTTGTTTTTCTGGTTCGCAGAAAATGCATGGCCGCGATGTCCGTGTCGCGCGCGTGTGCCGTTGTCCCCCGCTCCTCGCCAGCGCGCTGCGCCGAGGCACGGCTGACGTCGCATCGCGCATAGCGTCTTTTCTTGTTCTTTCTTCCCTTCGTTCCCGCTGCTGGTCCCCCGCGTCCGTTGCGCATGCACAAGCAATTCGTTAACGACGTATGGATTGACGACAACGACACTGAACGCCGCCACGGGCGGTAATACGGGCGCGTTCTGACGGCGTCGCACCCCTGCTGCTGTTGCTGCATCTGTTTCGTTTTTTCTGCTGGATCGGGTTCTATCGCTTTTCGAGTGAGTGAGTGACTGACTGCCCGAGTGAGTCACAGGTCAAGACTAACGTCAGCCGTAGAACAGTGGTACTGCATGCAGTGTTCATTTCATTGCTTGCCGAGTGTGCCTTCGACGGCGTTCGTCGTCTCGACACGCTGCCAACGTGCTTCGCGACACGGTCGTTGTTAGGCGTGTATGTATAACAACACCAAATGTCACATCGCTGCCAGCGTAACACCTCTGACCAGAAGGTAGGCCGCTCATGTTTTTATGCTCAGCTGTTGTGGCAGCGTAAGCATCGGATGTTGCAAAATACTTGCGATGAAAACTTCAAAAATTGTTACCAAATTGCCGATGTAGCGACGACCCGCCATCTGGGTATCCCGCATAGCTGCGTTACTTAGAGTGCAGTCGATGCTTTGTTACTTTGACCATTAACAACAATAACAGCAACAGTGAAAGCTCTTGCGAAACCGTACAACGCGTGCTAGATTTCACCTTTGAGAGACCATTATTAGTGCGGTTTTGCGTTTTGCCGAAAACCACTCATAAGTTGAACCTCGCTTCCCCTCCAGGGAAAGCCGAAACTAAATATACAAGACCGTCGGATAAACGGTTCGCAACGTACCTTTAGCTGAGATGTCACTGCTGCCGCGCCGCATTATTCACGATCGTTTCTCGCGAACCACAAAACGATGAATAAATGAAAGTTAAACAATTATTGTTGTGAACTGATATTTTATATGAAACGTTTGTGTACAAGAAACATTCTTTGACCATAAATTCGACTGCAGGTGCTGAAGGTATTCTTGTTTGTGACTGAATAATCAGATCTGTCGAACCTGAACCGTCCTCTGCATAAATAGCCACGTCTAGGATTTTCTGACCCTTCTTTAATCACAATCCTATCGATAATGACAAAACCAATTGCTGCTGCCTTGTGTAATTATTACTGCAATGATTAGACTATTTCGACCGAGACAACCGGCATAACCGTGAAAAAATCGGTGCTTTATTGGTTAGAGTCAAACGTGTATTTGTCAGAATGTGCTAATCATGTGTGCAAGTGGTCGCGTAACCTTTAAGGAGGCGCTCGTCCGCCGGCATGAACGCCTCGAGTCTTTGGGCTAGTCGGATAAGATGTCGAATCCCTTCACCTCTTGTCCGTGTAATGTGTACACGCCTGTTTGCTTGGACGGCTTTTCATTGCTCTAATACAAATATTCTCCGCACCCGTTTGTCGGTGAAATCTGGTCGTGAAAGATTCATGTTAGCCGTAGCATATCTTTGTGGTGGTGCCCGTCGAAATGATCGAATTTGCGCGTTACAGTTAATGTAAGGTTGTTCCTTCTATCTGCATCGCTCTTTACACACTTCCTCTAAAAGGCACCAATTTTTAACTCAAACGTGAATTGTTGGTCGTGGTCCACGTCTGTCTGTTTTCCAATGAAGGACGCCAAGCAAGAAAAGTTTTGACATCTTAGCCACCAGTGACTTAACATTATTGTCAGAGATTTTCGACTTTCTCAAATGTGACACTTGATTGCTTACTGCTCACTTGTTTGTCATTTTCTTCAGAAATATTCGACTCCCGTTGGGAAGTTGAAGCTGATCGTTCAGGACAGGCAAGCGCCGTGTCGACTGAACTCCGTTCGCAGTAAACGTTCGTCACCAGTGTTTGTTGCGCTTACGTTTGTACTGGTCTACTTTCTACTACAGTATTAGGTACGTGGGACTCTCGGCGGATCAGACGTGGGCTTTGTGCCCCACGTATGGGCCAAAACTGTAGGCACAGTCATGTGGTCACCTGATCCATTTTTCGATTAGCGAAGCTTTAGAAAGAATGTTTTTTTAGCGAGAAGCAGCGTAAACGATCGTTTACTGATATGCAGACTGAATGTGTTCAAGGAGAGTCGGGTACCGACGTTTCGTCTCCTGTCTCGCAGGATTTTTCAAGGTGCGGAGATGGTAAAGTTTCGGAAGCGTTACTTGTCCATAGCGGTTGGTAGCGCCTCTTGTAGAAGCCTGTCGTTTTGCACAAGGGAACGGAAGTCGCGATCAATTTACGTGATTATGATTTGTCCTATAGCGGTTAACGGCATTGTTTCATATGGCATTTCTTAAAATGTTCTCCATAAGGCGACACAAGCCTCTGTGTGTTTGTGTGGTGGATTGCTGAAGTCCCTTAGATCGTTTAGTTTTCGTGTGCGCAGAACGTGAAACGAACAAGACGAGGTAGCGAACGGTGTCGCAAGTTCTTTGTAACGTTGAAGATACCCGACGCAGCCGTTCTTCACGTATTCAAAGCTGCCATAGTATTTATGAAACGAAGATTGTCCGAAACGGTGTTGGTACCGCCTCGGCACAATTATCCCCATTATTGATCTTCCGACCATTTTTCGCCAGCCATTGGTATGTCTCGCGTGGTGTCCTTTGAACCAGGGAAACGTCCTTCTTTACGGGGGCATGCGACATGACTGCTGTGCCATTAGAATGTGTAACGTGCTTCAGGGATCTGTTGTTTGCAGGACGTAAACGCCCAAAACTGGAGGAGATAGAATCTGACAAACGACGAAATTTAACCCGTTGCTAGCCTGGTAGACGACCATACATCTTTTGCGGTCACAAATCGTGATCAATCAAGAAAACTCCGTAGCGACACAGTCGATAGGTGGTTAAACCTACTTCTTGCAAACATACGAAAACGTTTCTATGCACGAGGTTGAACACCTCAGGTCTGAGAAAAGAGCTTTCATGAACGTTCAGACAGCCATTCGATGTCTGTGATGCGAGCATTTCCATATATGGGAAGCGATAGCATGACAGTCGAACGCTTGGATATGAAAGTAAACAGTGTGATTGTTTTTTGAATATGTATTAACCGTTGTCTCAAAGGTTGAACGGTTTAAACACCAGTTATCCTTGCGAGTGCAAAGGAGGGATCGGATGGGATTCAAGTACGTGCAGTGGAGGGTAATCTCATGACTGGATTTGCGATGACTTCACACGGGAACAATTTTGACTACGCGCCGATAGCCATAGATCATTCCATAATGTAAACAGCCATTCTAATTTGCTGCCGGAGTCCGTTTCCTTTACGTTCATGAACGAGTTTCAGATTTTCTCAAATATCTCAAACATACACCAAGAGTGGAATTATTACCGTTCACGGAGGCTAAGCGGAAGCGTACGCAAATTGTTCTGTGAAATAGGCTTTTCGTTTCTACCATTCACAACGCCGGTTCGGAGGTCTAGCCATCAGTGACTATCGACTGATTTTCGACTGGCTTTATGTTGTCATTTACCCACTGTAGCGCCGTAATCTTGCCAGCCTTTCAGTTACGTTGCATTTGGTGCAGACCCATACATTGCATTTTGTATTTGTACGCCTAAGGTATGATACCTCAGAGTTAAACTAGGTGTTAAGCACTGAAAGCGTGTATTATGAAGTTGCCTGGCTAACTGGATGTTTCGCTCGTGTATAGAACATGCTGACGTTTATACAGGTTTTGAAATCACATGGGGTCACGGATTGCAAAAATAACTTCCTACGCATCTAGAAGTTCGGTTCAGTGCGTGCAGTAACATACTCGCCGGTTGGATGGATTAGATTATGCTTGCTAATATATGGAGACCCGTTTGTTCACTGAATTTCGAATTGGTTGGCTTTATATATGTTGTGCGCGTTTGTTGGGATCGTCATTCGTCTGGAGTTCATTTGCATGAACGGAACGAACATATTTCGGTTCGGTAAGGCTAGCGACGATCGGTGCTTTGCTAACGGCGTTTAACTCGCTACTAACGTACGCTTAAGTTCAGTGCAGTTAAGCTCCTTAGCATATTACAGTTTAGCAGCTGCTGTTTTCTCCGCGTTGGTCTAATGTCAGCGACGGTAGCGAAGTACACAAGCTGG